TGGGTATCTCATTAGCCTACGGGCCTTCTTATACTCCTGTTCCTGGTGGCGATTGGGCTGAGTCCTGGGAAATGCAGGGGGAGAGAAGGGAGTGGAGCAAGTGGGAGAATGCGGCCTCCCTTCAAACAGGCCGGGTGTGTCTTCGGAATCGGGGCCCCTGACTTCCTGAACCCCTTCTCTTCCTACTGCTCCCCTCCCAGCCTCTCCGGTTGCTGGAAGCCTCCACCTCTGAGATCTCACTGGGTGCTGACTCTCCGGGGTGCTCCATGCATCAAACTTGGCTGAGTCAGCTGCAGTGCAGCAAAGCAATTTGGGAAAATTCATACTAGTGTGTGCATGACTTAGAAAGGTTCTCTTGTTAAAAGAAGATGCTACCGGACATGGTTCCATAGTGTAGTGGTTAGCACGTCTGCTTTATACGCAGAAGGTCCTGGGTTCACGCCCCAGCGGAGCCATGGTCCATGGTCTACAAGCCCGATGTCTGATCTCAGAAGCTAAGCACAGTCAGGCCTGGTTAGTACTTGGACGGGAGACCACCTAGGAAGACCAGGTGCTGTAGGCATAAATAATGATTAAAAAAAAAAAAAAGAAGAAGACGCTACCCACACAATGGATTCTCTACTTTATGGGGTTTATTCAGTGGACAAAATGGAGTGAAATTTTTGATTCAGGAATTGCGGGGGAGGGAGGTCACCAGTAGGTAGCGCCCCCTATCTGTGGGTCTTGTTCTGAAATCGTATGCCCTGGACCATACTTGGTTTTTCCAGCATCAGGAGCCATAGATTTTATAAAAGCTCCAAATTCCCCCTAGTACCTCTGGGCGAGCATGGAGGGGTGGGCAGTGCGGATCAAGTTCAGGACCAGCGGTGGTCAGTACGAAGCACATTTGTATTTCGAAACCACCCGTTAAGACATCTTCATGCCCCAAATGTGGGTGCTTGATCCATATTTCCCACTTCCACGTCTTTCGGGGCCTGCTTCCTCTCCTTCCCTCCTCCTCGACCCTGTCTCCTTTGATCTACGCCCTCTCCTCCCAGCTGATCTCAGCACTTACGTGGAGGAGTCCATCCACGGTCCTGGAGATGCCTGCCTCCGTCCTGGGAGCGGCAGATGGAAAGCCCTGGGTGAAGGCTGCCAGCGGGAGGGAGGGCACGGGGCACGTGCTGGGGGTGGATTTTCAAAGGTAGCTGGTGTTTTACGCTGGCGGTGGCACATACGTACTCATCATCACACTTTGCGTGTGCATTACGCGTGTATGAAACTGTTCATAATAAAATTTTTCATTTTTTAAAAGAGGGACAGGAGGACCGAGTCTTTTATGCACACTTTTCAACCTGGACACGAAGGGAAGTGTGGTTGGCTCGTATAGCAGGATGAGCTCTCAAAACTGAAGTGTGGGGAAGGAACCGTGAGAGCATCGCGTGCGTCGTGGCCGTCCTTCGTCTTCCTCAGGGAGTGATAGGACGCGTGGAAGTGTTCGACGCCGTGTCCCAATGAATCCCGTGTAATGCCAGCCACACGGGTCGCTTACACAGAGTGACGCCATTCATGGGTTTCTCTTCCTTGGTAGTGACAGGAGACAGGGGAGCCCAGGTGCATCGACCTTACACTCTTAGCTCAGTGTGGAGAGTAACGTTATCCTCCGCATCTTACGGACGAGGAAACTGAGGCACAGAGACGTCGTGCCGCTTGCCTGAGGTGACACAGGCGGAAGTGGCTGAGCAGGGGCAGCGGACCAGGTCTCCGGGGTTCCCGTGCCTGCTCCCTTACTCCGCTGTCTGGGTTTACTGGAGGCCGTGGAAGAATCTTAGGAGGCATCCTGACTCCCGGGTCTGGATTCGAATCCTTGCCCTGCCCCTGAATCTCTGTAGCACCTGGGGCTAGTGATCCAGTCTCTCCGAGACTCGGTTTCCTCACCCGTGTAATGGATCTAACGACACTACCAATTTCTTGGGACCGTGCGAGCGTTCGATATTGAGTGCAAAGCGGCTGCACACTTAGAGCAGCCCCAATGAAGATACTTGTTCACACCCAGGGTTGAGGAAGACTCTGAGCGGAACTTCCCTGCGGTCAGGTGGGGACGAATGCCAGCTGGTACGGCCAGCTTTGGAAAACAGGTTGGCAGTCTCTCGTAAAGTCAACATGCACTTACCGTTTGATCCAGCAATCCCCGTCCTGGGTATTTACTCAAAAGAGATGAAAAACATATGTCCCCACAAAGACCTGTGTGCAATGTTTACAACAGATTTTTTCATACTTGCCCCAAACTGGAAACAATTCTAACGTCCTTCAGCTGGCCCCTGGATGAACAGTGGAGGGACGCTCAGCAGCGAACAGATAAATGACTGGGTGAATCTCCCCAGCCTTACGTTGAGGGAAAGAATCCAAGGCTACGTTTGTAGGATTCTATTTATAAGACATTCTGGAAGAGGCAAAATAATGGGGACAGAAAACAGCTCAGGGGCTGGGGGAGGGGATGAGAGACATTGTGGGGGGTTGATGGAAATAGTCGATCTCTAGATTGGACACCTGACAAGGTAAATTTCATTTTATGGCAATAGACCCGAAGCACCTGACTTTACTACAGGTGACGCACTCCGCCTCTGACAGCTCCGTGGTGGGCGTGAAGGGAAAATTGGGTATTAGGTTCTGCCTGGGGAGGCATCTTAGAGGGGACACGTTGGATTCATTTCAAATAAGCTGTCGCAATACCACGAAAGGAAAAGAACAACCCGCTCCTCACCCCTGCTTCCATCTGGGTCCTTCGGGACCATGAGTAAATCTGCCCATGGTCTGCTTTCCTCTGCCACTTCAAAGAGCGAGAGTGACAAGCTGGCAGGCTGCGGTGAAGCTCCGAGAAGCCGAATGAGGACTTTGAACATTTCTCAGCTTCCCCGGGTGCTGGGCCCTCCGGATAGGCTTTTTCATGTCATCCTGGGTCGGTGGGGGACGGAGGGGGGTGGACAAGGAGTTGGCCAGAGTCTATCTAGATGGGGTCCAGGCTCCCTGTGCATCCTGGAGCTGGCTTGCAAGGCTTGGAGTCCAAGGATGGGTATCGCTTTTGGGGGCACAGCTTGTCTGTGGGACCCATGTGTGGGTTTTAGACAGAGGAGAAATCTGTTTGGTAAGCAGCAAGAAGACTCCTTATGCGGTAATCTGCAGACTCCAATCTCACATTCATTTTCATCACGCACCTGCTTCGTGCTAGGTAGGCACGTTCTAGTTGTTGGGGGCACATGCATGAGCAGGACGGAAATAGGTCATGCCTCAAGGGAGTTTGTGGTTGGCTCGAGAGAGGGCAGAAGGAGAGGCCTCTTTCCTTTTCACTCAGATGGGTCTTGGGATCACAACAATGGGAAGCTCTTAGATCAGTGAAGATAATTAAGTCTCCCTGCATTAGAGATTCTAACCGCCTGAGGGAAGCTGACATGCTCCGTGGCACCAATTCTGGGCTTATGGCCGACTCTACGATGGCCAGCGATTATCCTTGCCTCCTGATATTCATGCCCCTTGTAATCCCCTCCCTCTGAGCACGTGCAGGGCCTGCGACTTGCTGCTAACCAGTAGCACACGGCAAAGCGATAAGATGTCACTCATACGTTTACATTATATGGGGTGGTCACTTCCGCCTTGCTAGCTGATGCTTTGCATAGACTCTCATTTGCTGGCTCTGATGAAGCACCTGCCCCGTGGAGGGACGTACGTGGCAAGGAGCAGGGGGTAGCCTCCAGCCAGCAGCTGACAAGGATATGAAACTCCCAGCGTGACGATCCACAAGGAGCGGAATCCCGCCAACAACCAGGTGGGCTTGGAAGTGGACCCTTCTCCAGCGGAGCCTCGGATGAGACCACACTCCTGGCTGACACCTTGACTGTGGCCTTGTGCGAGGTCCTGAAGCACGGGACCCAGCCAAACCGAGCCTGGGGTCCTGACCCACAGAAATGATGAGGTGATACATGTGAGTTGTATTAAGTTGCTAAATTTGCGTTAATCTGGTCACCAGCAACAGAAAACTAATACAGGGCTAGAAACCTTCTAGAAAACCCTACAAAGATCTGCCTGGCTGCCTCCATTTGGGGGCCTATTCATTACCCAGCGATTGGAGAAGTAAGGAGTCGAAATCGTTGGTTCTCTTATTTGCAAACCTCCATCGATACAATAAGTCTTGCATTTCCGTGGCTCTTCATGCTTTTCTGAGTGCTTTGAGATATATGAGCTTTTAAAAAATTATTATTATTATTCCTGCATTATCCCTATAGACACAGTTCAGAAGGTTTAAGTGATGAGCCCAGGTTCACATAACTAAGTAGTGACAAGGGCAGGGCCAGCACCTGGGTCACAGAAGGCTCTGGTCTTGGGAGACTCTCGTTCTGGATCAGGCTCTGTGCCCAGACATATCCACCCGGTTTCTGTTCATTAGTTAGAGAGTAAGGTGGACATTCTA